CCCCCAGGGCAGCTTCCGCCCCTTCCTCCCGCCCCTTCCTCCGAGAGGGCCCTCCCTCACAGGCCCCCTGGCCAGGCGGGTTCTGATGTCAGGAAGCTCTTCCCAGCCCTCACGGTGCTGAGCCTGACCTGCTCGTGGCCCCTCCCCCTCCAGAAAAGCACCTGCACTGTGAAAGGCCCTGGCGCTTTATGGATGCTCAAGAAGCTTCCATTCCTTTCCCCAGCACACCCGGACCTGGAGAGGACAGCAAGCTCGGTGGCAGGGTGAGACACCTGCCCCGTGCCTCCTCGCCCACCTGGAAGTGACCCCACATGACACTCAACACGGGGACAGCTGGCTGGAGGACACGCCCTCAGCCTCCACCCCCCCCTCTGTTAAATGGGCTACTGATCCCTACTACAAGCACTTTCACAAGGACTGAAGGAGACATGAGCATAGGACTGGGACCTGGGCACAGTAAGTACCTGGCAAACTCTTACTGGTGCCCTCTCCTCAAGGGCACAGAAAGAATTGAAATTAGAGAAATCAGGCTGTTAAGGGGAAGGATAAATAGGGCGTGACTGCATCTCACTCTCGCTCGGAACGGCTCTCCGGACCCCATGACTCTGTGTGTTCAGTCAGCCTAGCCGAAAGGTATTCCAGTGACTTTGTATCCCGCTCTCCTTGCCTGGGCTGTTTCCTATTCCTTTCCCCTTTTGTAAATAAACCCGTTATTGGCCCTTTTGTGTGTCCCTGCAGTATAACTGAGTTGTGAGCACGCGGGTGAGGCCCCACAGACTGGCGGCCCAGTCCACTCTGGGCTATCCTGTAACAAGGTGACCAGGTTCGCTCCACTGGAGGTCCTTGATGGAGCCTTCTGGGGAGGGTGACCGCCTGGAGGGAAGGAGGCCTGGGCCGGCTCTCTAGTCTCCCCGGCAGCTCTGTGCCTTCAGGCATATTCCTCTCTGAGTCGCCATCATGCCATCCCTGAGCTGGGCCGATAATGCTGCCCCACCAGACTGACCCCCCTCCTTCTGCCCTCTAAGAGCCAGAAATTTCAGCCCACCCAGACTACATGGGGACAGTGACTCCCAATTAAAACCTGCCAGAATCTGAATGAAGCAGGGCCTGGTCTCCCCTAGCTCCTTCCCCGTTCTAAGCGGACCCTGTTCAAAGTCTGGGTGAACGCTCCAGGTGCCATGCCCCGGTCCTGTTGTGACCTGGGTCACTCCTCACCTCTGCAGGAGCATATCAGCAGTTCCTACTTTACAGATGGGGAAACAGAGGCACAGACACAGGACAGGCCAGTGCTCCAGGCCTGTGGGCGCGTCCCCTTGCTTCACATGCCACCTTCCTCCCCACCCACGGCCCCGCACCTCACCAGCCTGGACGGCTCAGCAGAGTGGGCCTGTCCCTTCCCCGAGCATGACTTCCCTGGCTGAAGCCTGGGCACGCACAGGGCCTCACTCACCACCAGACTTCTACACACACCCCAGGCCTCCCAGACTCTCCACACACCACACCCAGCCCTCCACCACCAACTCGCACACCAGACCCCATGTCCTGTCTCTTTCACCTGCCCCCCTGCACCCCCCAAGTCACCGCAGCCACCCTGTTCAGAGTTCCCGGCTTCCCTCTCCTTGCCAGAAGCCTGTCCAGCCTCTCTCTTACCCCCCTCCATCAATGTCTTCCTCTCATGGCAACCCCCCCTCAAACTCTGATCCCTCAAAAGGCAGGCCTGGGGCTCCCCTAGCAGGAAAGCCTCCGCAGTGATCCCCTTGCCTGTTCACTCCCTCCCTCACAGACAACCAAGGTGACCCCCAGACTGCACCACTCTGCCATTCACACCCCCTCTCTGGAGAAGGATCCTGGAAATCTGACCTGAAGTCACCGTGAGACCCTCCCTCTCCCTCACTGAGGAAGCCAATTACCTGTGCTCCCCGGAAGCGCCCTGCAGCTCCATCCCACACCTTTGCAGGTGCAGCTCCCCCAGACCTGCCATGCTCTCCCATTCTTTCTACCACCTGCTCTGTCAAAGCATGTTCACCTGAAAAGCCCCAGCAGCGTCACCTCTTCAGTGCTGCCGCCTGCCCCAGATCACCTTCCACCCTGGTCGTATAGTGCTCCCCTTGTGCACCTCGACGGCACCCCACAGCTCAGCTGCACTACCCCATATGAGGCCACTGCACACCTCGGGTTCTTCCAACCTAACTCTGTAAGGGCCTCGAGTCACAGAGGGGGCCAGCTCATCCGAGGCTTCCCCCTTCCTACAAGGGGGTCGCAGGCCTGCCTCTGGGGGACCAGGAGTGGGCTGGGGGGGGCACCGCAGGGCAGGGAAGCTGGAGTCCTGTCCACCTTTGGCCTAGACCCCAGCAGGGGAGACAGCAGGGGTGCTCAGGCTGACAGCCCCTTTGGCGTCCTCCCCTCCCTCTTGCTAGCAGATTCGTTCACTTCCATTTTTCTTTCTTCTTCCTTTGAGTCCCAGGGCATTTGTGGGTTGCAGGGCACCCTGAGAGAGGTGAGGGGCACTCCCAAGTCGGGAGCTGAGCTGTTCTCACACACACTGAGGGTCTCAGGCACTGCCGGGCGCACCCAGTGTGTGGCACTGGCAGGCACCTGCTGTCCCCTTACACCTTACAGGCTCTCAGGAACACGCAGCAAGCAAGCCCAGAGGGTCTGTCCTCCCCAGCTTGCAGCCCAGGGCTGCTCCCCTGTGCTTCTCCCAGGGGTGAGGGATGACACCTAGGGCCACTGGGCCTCCAGTCCCGGGTCAGCGATCCTGGGGAGTCAGTCCTCAAACTCCACTCCCCCCCACCCCAAGCCTCCGGCTGTGGGGGTGGGGGGAGAGGTTCTGAGCCTCTGGCAGGGACAGTCCTCTAAACCTCCATCTCCACGTTGGGAGGTGCTACCAGGACCCCTAAAATGCTAGGGACCTGGAGGCAGAGGCAGAAAGAAACTAGGTGACCCGCAAACCAGAAACAGAGGGAACGACTGAGGGTGCTTCCCCGCCTGGGGCTGGTGGGGGGCTGCAAGGTCCCTCCCTCCCTCTCTCTCCCCCACCAGCCTGGAAAGAATCTTTTTATTCCCATTTTTCAGGTGCCCAGAGGTGAAACTACAAGCTCAGAGCCCCTTTGGGGGATTCCACCCAACATGACCCCGGAGCCCCACGGGAGGGAGCTCAGCAGAGGAAAGGAGGGGGCTTTATCTGGGCGTTTGCCCGGGCATTTCTAGGGGTGGGGGGCGCAGGGGAGGAGATAGGTTCCCCCTCCCTAGCGCTGAAACCCATCCGGTCCCCACCCGGAGTCCCAAGCTCGACCCAGCAGTCCGAACTGCCTTCGGGAAGCCCAAGCCGGGTCCTGCCCAGAGCCCCTCGCCACCCCCACCCCCGCCCCCCGCGTCCAGGCAGCCGTGCCAACCTCCGCGCCTTTACCTGGAGGGGTGGCCCCGGGCGCAGGCTGGGCCGGGGGCGTCTCGGC